ATCAAAGAAGCACTAGCAGTCCAAGTACAATTATTTCATGGAAGTTCACATAATAAATAGAAATCGTTTTATGAACAGTAAGACTATCCACCATCATTAATGTTGCAAAATGACTCTGAATTTTTACTTTCCACACCTATTTCTGTCAGAATAATTAAAAGCTGCTTTGACTTTAGCTGCTAGCTGTGATGACAGAACTTCACGTTCCGATACTTTTTGTTATTGAATGTTCCAACTCAATATCAAATTCATTAAGATTACTTAATAGCTGTTTCAAGAAAGTAACCGACGAAGCATCGCGTAGAAAGGATTGCTCTTCGTACATCTCGATAGTTAATTTAGCTGACGCAATGCACGGAATAATGCGATTAAGTAGATGATTCCTGAAACATATCAATAAATGAATCAATAACAACACATTTTCACTCAACTTCAAGAATCAAATATCTCCTAGATTGGATAATTTAAGAAGCTGGATATGGATGATCATGGCTGCTCGGGTAATGACGCATTCAACGCTATGATGTCTCCATACTTGTATGCCTTACAGACTTCGACACGGTTACCCGGACAGCCCATTCGCATGACTTCGGTCGCGGATCCCTACCATAGCAAGATCTACTAAGATCTATGCAAATAAAATGTATGTATGTCGTTCTGATACAATGTTTCCGATTCTTGCATATCATATAATGAAACTCGAAAGGGAACGATTTTGATGTCCCTTAATGAACGATTTTAAAAAAGTGGTTGAAAAAAACTTAGGAGTGGAGGCGACTAAATACGCTAAGCTGCGAAATTTGCGTTTTGAAATGCGCGGCAAGAATGAACGGGAAGATGGCGTCATGCGCAACTTCGCAGGAAATGGAAGAGCAGCTTGGAGAACATCGTGTTGTGTGATGGTTAAAGTGATTGTTAGTGGCTATAAATATTAAGTTTTCAATGTATATTCTTACAAATAATTTTTGTGATATCTACGGAAAATACAGAGGTGAGGGAGTTCTGATTAATATTTGGAAATTGAATTTCATACATTTGTTTCAAAGAACTATCTTTTTTCAGAATTACTGATCTTAGTTGTTGTGGATTTAAGAACTTTGTCAATTTTGTTATATTGTGGACGGTAAAACTGTAAGTACTCTGTGAAACTGTAAGTACTTTGTAAAACTGTAAGTACTATGTAAAACTGTAAGTACTTAGTAAAACTGTAAGCACTTTGTAAAACTGTTCAGTACTTTTACAGTGTTTGGCGAGATCGATAAAACCTTGATGTACATATGGCCCTTTATATAAAGATTACAGTGATGTCATAAAAATTCCAGTCACTACATTAAGGGAAAGTTGATAGCAGGATTTACTGTTATAGGTCAAAACAATATCCTTGATTATATGTGTAAAGATCTTGGTAAATATATAACATAAGTATATTTATTGATACGCAGTATTTTCTATCGTAACATTCCTACAGTTCTTCCGTCTGTGCGACGTATTCGCACGGGTTCACCTAGTGTGTGATTATCACTAACATGCTGTGAATCAAAACATAATTGATTGATTGATTACTGATTCCATGCGCGTTAACTGCTAAGATCCGTCAGTGTAGGGCATGCTTTTATCGCAGATGGTGGCAATGATATTTTCCAGGTGAAGAGATCCGACGGCGACCTACGTCAGCATGCTGGGATTTTCCCTAATCAGGTGTCTCCCACCAGCTTGGTATCGCCCCAACCGGGACAAGCTCTAAGTTCCCGACTGGTCTCCTGACAAGTGTGGCAGTGTAATGCTTGTAAGTGTAAATAAGGGATGAAGATAGGACCGGGAATGGGAAGGAAAGATCGCGCGCGGCACGTGGTCCGTTTGTTAGGGTACTGCTCCGGCATTCACATGGTGTTGATCGGCGAAATAACGGAATATCACCGATCAGAGCAGCCGACCGCCAGAATTCTTCTCCAGACAGCGGCTGAATTCAACCTAACGAGCTAGTGTCGTAAATCCTGGCACCATCGGAATTCGAACCCTATTACCGGTCAGAGGCACTACAATTGATGCCCTGAACCACATTTACTGGTAAAACAACATAATTGATTTCGCTTACCTGACACAAAGACAGACAAAAAGTTGGAATTTTCCATCTTTTCCCAGGGCTTGGCTTGACGTATTTATATGGTCCACTAAGTTGCAGAAAGATTGCATTACTTCAAGTTCGTCTCTGTCAATTTTTGAGTTATCATAGTAGTCAGTAGAACTTGTATTTCGAGGTCGAGTATTGATAAAGTCTATGTGGCATTCTTCTAACTGCTCTTTAACACGAACTAGAAAAACAAATTATCACGTAAATTTGAAAATTGAACATTTTAGAAATATTTTAATGAAAAATAATAGGAATCGCATGTATTTTAGATTACAATAACTATTATTTTCTAATAAATGAGTAAAACGACGAAACCTGTATAGAATCTGACGGGTTTAGTAAAACGGGGTCTAGAACTACCCTCCCTTCCAGTCGAAAGTGGTGATTTTTTTTATCCTAAGAAGAGAGAGATACTTGATATCACACCTGCTTTCTTTCCTTACCCCCGGGGGCAGTCATGACTGGAAAGCTGTAAGAACCTATCCAAGAACCTATAAGAAGGTCTTCATCCCCATACTTTTCTTGTCCATTTTTTTATTTACAGGCGGCGGAAGAAGCACACACTTAACGAGTTAAAGGTACACTTGCGATTTTTGAGCAAATGTGTTGTTTTTATAAATTGCAACAATTTCAAGCACAAATTACACAAAAACTACTAGTTTCTTTTCAAAAAATTGTACATGGCCAGTTTTAAAGTGCTGATCTTTTTTATAACAGATTTTGTTTAAAGCAAAAATCTCCTTCTTCTATTATGTAGCTCCGATTTTTTGAAAATTACCTTAACTTTCGTACAAAGATATAGTATTTAATGTCTTTTATGTGTACATTACAAAATGTTTAAAATTCTAAGTTTATAATATACTTACGTTCAAACAGAATGTTTAATAATTTACATATATTCTAATTAGATAGTGACTAAATAATTAAATTCGAATACTTACCAAGAAAATCCCAAAGGTAAAGATTTCTTCCGAATAATCTAGAAGATTTAAATCCGCAGAGAAATACTTGCTCTAAACAATACACTAATCCCATTTCTCCACAAAGTAACAACGTCAGAGTACTGCGATCTTTCTCGTGTTTTCTTTTATAATAAAACTTCACAATCCTATTAACAGCATCGCCTAGAACATAATTCATTATTGCACATATATCATTTTCTTATAAAACACTGATTATACAATGCAAATAGATAAATACACAAAATAAAACTAGTGGGGCTACAGAATGGCACAGATTTTCTCTTATTAGTTTTCTATTAACTTTGGTCTGGGCTAGGTATTCGGACTTGCCACGTACTCTTGCTAGCCGCAATCTATCGCCACCCAAATTACATTTTTTTAAATTTTCTCAATTTTTAGATTTCCTAATAGTAGAGCCGAAATATTATTTTAAAAATATAGAATATTATAGATCGTCATTAATGGCAATTATCATTGAAAAATCTGAAGCTTTTTAAAGAAAATGGCGTTTAAGTATTACTGAAAATGCGAATTTGAAGCGTTTTCACAGAAAATTGTAGAGTTTTCGAAAATCTTTATTTGAAGTCATTTAATGCACTTTAACTCAAAAGCAATTCATTTTACAAATCGCTGGAAATATAAATATTAACGGCGCGAGAGATATTAAAAGAACGTTTTTGTAATAAAGAAAATACTCAAAAATGAACTTTATGTCACATTACACAGTGTAATTAGCACTATCCGTAGGAAAAGTTTGAAGTAAAATTTGGAATCGTTTTTGAGAAAATGGCGTTTGAAGGTTTCCGAAAAGTGCAAACGTTTGAGCGCATTTTCACAGGAAACTGTTGAGTTATTCATAAACTTTGTATGATATTATTTAAAACAATATACACAAATACAATGTCAAGAAATCGCCACTTATGTAAATATTACCAATGTAATAGACAAGTAAAAAAAATACATTTTTGTATTTTTTTGAAAAAACAAAAGAATAGATCAATATAGCGTTTATGTCATATTACAGAGTACATTTAGCACTATCCCTACCAAAAGTATACAGAAAAAATTTAGAAAAGTTTGCGATAAAATTTTGTTTATGTTATTTTCAGGAATTGCACATATTCCACGT